GAGGAGGGTTTCCCTGAGTCTGAAATCTGACAGAAATCCCCATGTGTATTGCTCCTTTTATTGCTCTCTAATCCTAAGGATATCTGCTGTGGGATTTGGGGGCCATCCATAAATGTCTTCCCCAGAAGTCTGTATTTCTGTTTCCTGTATCTCAGGGTCGCAATGACAGTTCCTCCCCAAATGACACATTTGTGGAATATAACCTCTAAATTTAAAAAAAGTTTTCTGTTTACGTAGTGTACCTGGCTAGAACTTTTGAAAAAGTTCTGAGAGAGGCAGAGGTGTCCATTCAGTCCATAAAGTGCTGAGGCACAGCAGGAAGACTCGAGTTCAGTCTGCACATCCATAGTAAAAGCCAGATGTGTTGGCAGGGGTTTGCAATTTCAGGGCCACAAATGTAAAGATGGGATCCTGGAGCCCATCCTAGCTGGTGAGTTCTCCACCAGGGAGAGACACTGTCTCTCAGAAATGAGGTGGGCGATGCCTGAGGTCAGTGCAGGGTTGACCTTTGGGCTCACCACACAGGTACAAATGTGTTTCTGCATCCTCACAGAGGTGCGCACATGTGCGCGTGCACACACACACACACACACACACACACACACACACGGTCACATACACAAACACAGTCTCACACACACTGGCATACACATACATAAAACATGAAAACACAAAATGTAAATTTGAACTGTCTACCTCTTATGGATTTCTAGGACTTTCCATATATTGAAACATAGGTTGGTGATTGACAGGTCCTGCTAGGATTTCTTTCAGCTGGAGTTACATAGCCCTGGCCTCCAGCCCCTGATCATTTTTCTCCTGCCTTACAGCACATGGGTGCTATAGAAAGTGCAGAGCAGGTTACAGACTTCATGGCAGGGTATAGTAGGGTCCTTGCATAGGAAGGAAATAGTGTGGGACAAATTTTAATTGGTCTTAATAAATAAAACCCAGACTCAAGATATTAGGGGGTGAAAGCTGAAGGATCAGAGAAGTAGTACGGCCACCTACTGGAGAGACCTTTACCTCTACTCAGACCGAAGGGGCGATCTTGTCCTCAAACTGCCATTCAGACTCCAGGGGTGATCCTCAGACTGCACTGATCTCTTGTATCCTCCTGCCTTGCATGCCTCTCACCGCCCAGCCATATCACTCCTGTCTCCACCTCCCTAGTGCTGGGGTTAAAGATGTGGAATCCTAAGTGCTGGGATTTGTGCTAGCTCTGTTTCTCTTTTAGACAGATTCAAACTTGCGTGGTCCAGGGTGGCCTTGAACTAACAGATATCCCTCTGCCTCTGTCTCTGGGATTAAAGGTGTGTGCCACCACTCCCTGGCCCCTGGTGGCTTAACTCTGCACTCTAATCTTCAGATTAGGCAAGCTTTATTTGATAAAACACAAACAAAAAAATCACTACAAAACCCCCTAAATAACATGGTAGATATTTAACTATCTTTCCTGTGCAAATTTTCTTGCACTCACACACTTCTTAAATAAACATTTATGGTATTAACCTTGCTAGTTGCAGTGTAAGTGGACACAAGAAACAATGTCAATCAACTTCCACTGCAGTGGATTCTAAGGGATTCCCGAGGGCACTGGAATTCTTCTATAATCGGAGATTGCTTAAAACAAGTACAATTGAGTGGAGTTTGTAAATTTGTTGTAGTTAGTTTTATGTTATGGGCATTTTATTTGTTCACGTATTTTCTCATTTTGCATGTGAGTATGTTTGTGTATGTTTAGCCCAGATGTACCTACCCGTGTCTGTGGAGGCCAGAGGGCAACCCATGGAGTATTCTCCAGATCCATGGTCAACTATGGTAGGGTTGAAGAGGATAGGGTTGTCCTTTTGTTTGAAAATTTAGAACTTTGAAGGCTGAATGTTGATGGAAACTTTTTTTTTTTAAATGTGGAAGGTTCCTGAGAATTGTTTCACCACCATTTTTACTTAAGGCGGTCAGTGCATATCTGTAGGCTACAGATGTGTTTCCCCTAGAGGGCGGTATCCTGAATATTCAGGATCTCTTCCAAATGTTCTGTGGAAACATGGTAAGGGAGAGTCTGAAGACTTCGGTAGCTCAGGGCTCACACGACGCAAGTTTCACGACTTTCTCCATGGCTACTCCCTCTCTTGCACCCAGGATAATTTAAATTCCACAACTGTGTGTGTCTTCATAATGTGTTTGCATACTTTAGAATTTTAACTTAAGTGCTAACTTGGACCACATGCTTATTGAATGACCTTTAGGGGAAAATGGATTGCTTCCTGTTAGACATAGACAAAAATTCCGTGGAGCACAGTGTCGCGGGATATTCGGTTGTGCTGTGAACTTGCAAATGTGTTAGTAAAATCAGCCTCGAATGGGGGTGGTCAGAGCCAGCAACTGGTTGACAGGAGTCAGCCTTAGGGCCAGGAAGATGGATGGAGAGACACATAGGAAGGAGTGGGGAGGGACTTGGAGATTGGTAGTCTTTTTTGGTTTGGTTTAATTGGAGAGATGTTCTCTTGCTGGGTCTCCAGCCAAAAAGCAAGATTCACTGATTGCTTCTTGGCCTCTTTGAGATATCAGGTTTTCACCCCCACATCTGATGGCCGAGTCTTTACTGGTAAATAGAATGATAGAGACTTAGTTAAAAAGTACATTTGGTGGCAGTGGGTGAACTGGTGCCAGTGGGACCAGAAATCCCACCAGACTGCAGCCTGAGTGGCAGGACACTGACCCTGGGGCCACAGGTCACAGATGGTGGTTAAAATATCAGTAGATCTCAGGTGCAGCCCCTAAGCAGAGGGAAAAACAGCAGAGGACCCTTTATTGCTTTATCTGTATTGTGATATGCTCCACAATTTGTATTTCCAAATACAGTTCTGTATTTTGTCCTAATCTTGACATGTTGGAATAGGCAGATGCTTTCCTGCCCTTCATCCTGCCTGGGAATGGTTATCTATTTATACACGATTGGAGGGTTGCAGATCGTAGTGGAAAGACCCCTTGATATATGACTTCTGGATTCCTGGAGGCTTGCGGCTGATTTTCTTCTTGTTTTTCTGTCAGAGCAACAGTTAGTTAGGAACAGCCTCATGGAGAGGAGGAAAACTGCATAAATGAGAGGTCTTCGTGTGCAAAGCACAAGGCAGATAGCAGTTAATTTACTGTGTGTGTCTTTCCTTCTGGTCCTACTCACTTAGCCGTGCAGGAGCTAATTTTACGAAAAGCATCGTCGACTGGGATTGTAGCTTAGTGGCTGGACACTTGTCGAGCATTTTTGAAGCCCTGGGTTCAAGTACTCATCACTGTGAGGAAAAAAAGAAGAATCAAATTATTTTTAGAAACTACTATAACGCCGGGCAGTGGTGGCGCACGCCTTTAATCCCAGCACTCGGGAGGCAGAGGCAGGCGGATCTCTGTGAGTTCGAGACCAGCCTGGTCTACAAGAGCTAGTTCCAGGACAAGCTCCAAAGCTACAGAGAAACTCTGTCTCGGAAAAAAAAAGAAAAAAGAAAGCAAAAATAAAGCAACAACAAGAAATCTACTATAGCACCGAAAAGTGATTGTTAATATTTTTTTACTGATGGCAACAGAACATGTAGACATAGTTTTCTCCATATATCAATATATGTATTTTCAATATATGAGTGTACATGTTTAAAATCAGGAAAATGGTATTATAAATTTGGGGGGTGAGCCCTAGGTGTAAAAGAAGAGGTGAGAGCCAGGCCTGAGAAGCTGCTGTGGCTCACAGAACTCTTCTTTCCGTCTTTGTATGTGGTAGGAATATCTTAGGTGATTTTTTTCCCCCTTTGGAACTTGATCCTTTATGGGGACCGAGCAAGTGTTGCATGAGGTCCATGTTTATGATGGGTAGAGATGGGGGTGCCACTGAACCCCATGCTGATGCCAATTTTGTTAAGACTGTTGAAAACTTTAAAGAATATTTATTTATTTTTAAACTTATGTGTATGTTTGTGTGGACATCTATGAGTGCCAATAGGGCAGAAGAGGTTGTTGGATCCACTGGAGCTGGACTTCAGTTGTGAACTGCCCAGTATGGGTGCTGGGAACACACCTGGGGTCTTCTGCAAGAACAGCAGCCCACTTCCCCAGTGCTGAGATGACATGCACATGCCACCATACCTGACTTTTTCCCCTCCCCTCCCCCCCCCTTCCCTCCCCTCCCCTCCTCTCCCCTCCTCTCCCCTCTCCTCCTTACCCCTCCCCCTCCCTCCCCTTCCCTCTCCTCCCCCCTCCCCTCCTCTCCCCTTCCTTTTTTTTCTTTTAAGAACTCAAGTCCTCATGCTTTCACGGCAAGCACTGTGCAGAGCGAGCCACCCCCTCTGTCCCGCCTGCCTTTTTCAGATAATGTCCCAAATGCTCTCCTTTCATTTTTTGCAGTGCTGTCTGCCTTGTTTTCCAGCCTAGGCTTTTGTACCTAGACAGAGAAGCATCCATTTTCCCTCTTTTATAATCTTTGTTTGCACTCAGACATTCATAGTCTTGCAGGATTGCTCTCACACGGAGACCTCCAGTTTCTGAAATGTGTGTGCCGATGTGTTCAGCTGTTCACTGAACGCCATTTCTCAGGGAAGTGTGCTTACCCAGAGCCCTCCCTTCCCTTCTCCAGTTTGTGCTATGGCTCTCCTTACCATACACTGTTTCTTACTTGCAAAGCCCCTCTTTTCCTCCTTGACCATTTTCTCTTGGCATTTCCCAAACCACTGCCATGTCGCCATTGTTGCTTGTGACGAGTATCTCACTAGGTGTAAATCCTAAGGGCCGCAGGCTCTTTCCCTTCTAGATGTCCAGGGGTGTGATAGGTTATCTTGTCCATACTTGATAACAGATACGTGACTGTACTTTCATTATTCTTTACTTAATCTTCAGGCACAAAATTCAGAAAAATCTTGAAGTAGCCTCGATGCGCAGATGACTGAAGTGACTTCTGATTGTTTGATACTCCACTGATGTGTTGAAGTGTTTTGTTCTCTCCCTTGTTTTGTTAGCAATCAAAGAGAAGTACACAGACTGGACAGAATTCCTCATACGTGATTTGACTGGTTCTCGGACGGCACCTGCAAGCCTTCTGGAAGGCGTATGTATTGCTATTGTTCATCTATTATAGCCCCGAAGCATTCTGGTCCTGTGATCTCAAACCTAGTGGTACCTTTGCATATATCCTTCTGTGGATACATGTAGACACAAGTGTTTTTATTCTCACAGCCTAACTTCCTGTTTCTTATTGAATTACATAGGTGATGGATTTGAGTGGTATTGACTGATGTTTTCCTGTGTTATAATCAATAAATGGGAAGTTTTCTCTGTTCGAGTGTATTTTACAATTATGTAGCAGGATGTCTTCCCAATACCCTTTTAAGCCTTATCATGTAGGATGACTTTTTGGCAGGTGATGACTAAGCATATTTATGTGCTCACTAAAGTTTCCTGGAGCCCATTAATAAGTAGCAACATAAGTTGTTCATCTTGGGTGCATAATAACTCCCATGATCTCACTCATATGTGTTATCTAATTGATTAGCTTGCTCCAGAAAACAAGAGGAGACATGGCTGACTGTATTGCAATGTTGCTAAGGTAGTTTTTAGGCATAGATGCAGAGTAGTTTAATCTTGAGTCTTGATGGTTTGTTTGAAAACCTTATAATGAAACACTAATAATTCTTCTATGTACTTGAGCAGGAAGACAAAGGCAGTGTGTCATATGTAATTATTAAATTACCAACCCTGTCTCAAGGGTACCCTAGGAAAGGGGAGCCCTATGTGAATGCCTGGGAATAAGATGTTGATTTTCATTGTTGTTACTATTGTTGTTATTATTGTTATTATTTTTAACCTTGATTTTCTTCCTTGGCAATGGTAGTAATACTTAAGACAATCACTGTGTTATATAGTGTTCACAAGTGTTCTGTGATGGTTTTTGCTTGATGTGTTTATCTTAATGGCTGATTTTGCCCACTGGGCTACAAGACTGCGAGGGTGATGACTCACATTTTCAGAGGGAGAAGTTGCCTTACAGTGTTAATTCTTAAACACGTTTGCCTAAGAAGCTGGCTAAGCAGACACTCTTCACACGTCAAAGGGCCTATGAAAGGCAGTACTTAAATTTTCCCAAACCAATTACCAGGTTAAGAAGTAATTACTCTCTTCATATGCCAAGAAAGTTCCTCTTCAGAAAGGGCAGTACTCACAGGTTTTCCAAACCAATGCCCAGGTGATGTAGTAGGGGAACTAACGTCACATAATATAGACAAATATTAAAAAGAGAACAAAAGATGCCTGAGCTTATAATCTCAGCACTGGGGAAGCAGATGGAGGCAGGTCCCTGGGAGCCACTGGCTAGCCAGCCGAGTTAATAGGAGTCCATACAGTCGATGATGGCTGAGAAACAGCACTTGAGGGTGTCCTCTGGCCTCCACACATGCTCAGGCCTGCGCATCTGCGTGCTCCACATGCCCCCGCCCCACACTGAGAAGTTGAATGAACACAAACACATATTAGCCACGTCACTTGTACACACCTACGCTTATTCACTTAAATCTGTGCATGACAAGGTTTGGTCTGCTGGTTGATGGCACTGTAAGGTGACCTTCTCTCAAGGAGTCATGGTATAAATCTATAGCACTATATTAAATACAACTGTCAATTTGGAAAACAGAGCTTTTGCTGTCGGGTGTTTCTTTTAGCCCTGGGCGCATATACGTATGATTCTGTTTAGAAATGTACTAATTTCTAACAAATGCAATTCATTTCATTTGGGAAGGATAATTTGTTTGATGAAATACTAGCATAAACTGTTATTTTCTATTTGCTTGTGATTTTGTTGTTGTTGTTGGGCAATGATGTCGGCTTGTGGATGCGTGTGAGGGGGGAGAAAGGGAAGCGGGTGTGTGTGGGGGTGATGGTTGAACCGAGGATGCGGGGCGGGGCGGGGCGGGGCGATGCCAGACTGTTTGGCAGTAGCTTGGATGATGGTGTGAGAAAAATAATATCTTTTGCTGCTGTCATCTGTTTCCATGAGAACCTTAAAATCAAGTTTAAAATACGGAGTTTTGCTTCTGTTTAAACAGCCTCTGCGAGGGAAAGGCCCTATAGACCTCATTACAGTTGATTCCTTAATAGAGCTTCAGGACTCTCAGAACCCCTTTCAGTACTGGATAGTTAGTGTGATTGAAAATGTCGGAGGAAGATTACGCCTTCGCTATGTGGGATTGGAGGAGACTGAATCCTATGACCAGTGGTTGTTTTACTTGGATTACAGACTTCGACCAGTTGGTTGGTGTCAAGAGAATAAGTACAGAATGGATCCACCTTCAGGTAAGAGCTGACTCTTTTCCCCTGTGACGTGCTTGAGAGAGCCGACACCCGTGGGTGTGTCTCGGGGCGCAAGCTCCGATGTGTCTCTTCCATGCCAGAGTGTGGATTTTAAGTGTGTTCACTTCAGAATCTTTGGTGCGGAGATGAAAATCCAAGATGCTGGTCAGAAGCATTCTGTAAGGAGACCATGGTGCGGTAGCCTCAGGAAGCCGGTCTGTTCCCTGCGGTGTCACTGGCTCAGAGAAGGCGATGGGTGATAGATGGGGACCCGAGCATGGTCTCTCCATTCTTTGGGATTGTTATAGTCTTGGGAGCATATTCCACCATCTCTGTTTCCCTGCCCGTCTTTCTGCTAAGGCCTGTTTTCTCCTTCATCGACCCGCCCATTCTTCTGTCCACATTCATCTGCCCGTCTTCCCCCCTGCCCGCCCATGTATGTAACTATTCATTCCTGTAAGCACATCTGTCATTTGTATATCATCCATTCCTCTCTTCCCTCTTTTTCATTCTATCAGTCCGTTTATACCCATTCCTCTACCCACATCCATCCAGTTCCCCATTCTCCCACTTACCTCTCATGCAGCTGTACATCCATCTGTGCGTTCACATTGGCCAGTCAATTGCTCTCGTGTCCCTCTGGGCCCGTTCATTTGTCCAGATTCATCCCTACTCCCATTCTCCACCCTGCTACACACTACACATGCATGGCTATCATCTATCCATCCATCGTCCACCCACGTATCTGTCACTTACCTATGTCATTTATCTCTTTTTCTACACATCCATCCATACAAATGCCACAACACCTGCTTATGATTATGTAATTCATTTTGACAAGGAAACAGCAATGAGAGGATTAATCTGTTTGCCCTTTGCCCGGTCAGGTTACCAGGTAGCTTCAAGTGTACTTGCACATGACTTTTCATAGGCTTGATTGGATATGCATACTGCCTTCTGATAGATCGCTCAAAAAAATCTCATATTTACAGAATGGCCAATCTTAAATATTTGTTATGTTCCAGGTGATTCAACAACTGTTATGTTGGTTATTTTGATTTCAAAAATGTAGTGCATGTTTGGTGTGACTCTCTTTCTTCAGCCAGAATTGTGATTGAGATGAAACTGCTTCTCCATGGCCCCCTGGAGCTTGTAGGGAATAGCTGAATGTTGCAATCGGAGTGCCCAGGTCCTAGGCCCAGTGCGTCTCACCGCCTATGCTGGCCTATGCTACTCTTACCAGCATTTTGATGAAAAAACCTCAGAGTAGAAATGTCACTTTGTTAATGCATTTACACATGCCAAGGAAGAAATATTTCTTTCTGATAGAATTTTATTCTCTGGTCAGCTTTACAGGTTTATTTAGAGCAATAAATGCTAGTTCATGGCTTCATTAATAAAATTGCTCCTATGTTGGTTGCCAGTGTGAGTCTTGTGTACACGAAAGTGAGAAGCTATATTTACCTTATCTGTCACTCAAGGGCTTTTATTGTAGAACGTTTCCTGGTTCTGGACCCCGGGTATTTGCATCTGTGTTAAATCTGACAGGCAGATAGACGTGTAACCTGGTATTTTATAATAGCCACATTGTTGTTGTCGACGTTTTGAGAAGCAGCCAAGAAATCCTTTTATACCTTAAGCATTTGGGGTGATAACAGACAAAGGTCTTGTCCACGCTGAGAGAAAAGATTGAGCTCAAGTTTGTTTGGGGATTCATAACCTGGCAGGAAAAATTTACTTGTGGGGAAAGGTGGCTGTGTAAATCTCAGCCCAGTGCCTAATTGCTTTATAAATTCTAGAAGAAATTTATCCTTGCCAGTGCGAGGATTTAGAGTAAAGCACAGAGTTTCCAGTTGCTCCTTGTGTTCTTTGTTCTGTCTTTTTTTTTTTCCTGTAAAATCCCGGGACTAAAACTCGAAAGCTGGAGCAGAAAATCTCCCTTTAAGAAACATTTGTTTATGAGTCTTCTCACTTTTGATTGTTCTCTGTCTTTACAATGCATGCATAAATCATGCTTATCTGTCTTAGAATTTTCTGGACATAATGTGGATTTCACAGAAGAGCTCATGAGTTTGTCTAAAGACGGGACAAGTGGTTTGTCAAGAGTTTATTTCTCCAACATTTTAAAGTGTTGGTATGAGTGGTTGTGTAGAGGAGAGAGAAAGTAAAAGGCAAAATGTCACTCAAATATAGTAGTTACAAGGTGAAAACTGGATTCTGTTACCTCAGTTGGTGAAACGATACCCCTGAGGAAAGAGGCAATTATTACTCCGATTTTACACATGGGAGCAGAACCTGATATGTTAGATTTGTGTAAATTAATTTCAAATCCCAGGGTACCTTGTGCCACTTAAATGGTAGTACCATTTCTTGAACTAAAATGGCATCGTGAATAAAATTTCAGACAGCATAGAAAATATTAGGCTGATTCTCCTTTTCCCAGACACTAATAAACCAATACAAATTTACCAGCATTAAAAACTGGGGGAGGGGAGTGGAGCGGGGCAGAGGTAGCATTAGGGGAAACACAGTAGACTGCACATGGACGTTGAGAGGAAGGCTGTGGAAGCTGTCCCTGCCTCTGAGATTCCCTTTGCCATGCCTTTTTCTCCAACGTCATCATCAACGCTGTAAACAATCCCGACTCTTCACTTAGTGGTACTTCCTTCTTTTACTTTTCAAAGGACACTTTCTTCCTCGACTGTTCACTATGAGCGGAGGGAGTAGAAATAGGTAATAAGAAGTGGCGGGAACGTTTTTTTCATTGGAAATTCTAGGAAAGGTACTGCATTTTAATACTATCTCCTTCTGTGGACCTAGCATTGTGGGGCTTTCCATTGCCTTAGTAACCACTGCTCAAATCTTTCCTCACTGGTACGGACTCAGGAGAGGACGAGGGAACAGGTTCACAGTGGTACCTGGACATCCGAAGGGGCCCTTCCACGAGGCCTCCATTTACTTGTGCCTATTTATTTGTTTGCATGTTTATGGTGGCATAGTTGCTTTAAGTAAAGCTTTCTACCAGGACATTCCAAACTTTTGCATGAAGGGAGATCTCCTTACTTTGCTCTAGGCTCCTGGTGACAGACGGGCGGGCGAGGGCCATCTTTTTACTTGTTTATGACTTCCCACGACCAGTAAATGGAGTCTGCTGAACACTGTTAAATTCCCTGCAGTGCAGGTCATTTTGAGAACATGTTTTATGTCCTTTTAATAGACCTGTTTATTGTTCATAAATTCGCTGGTGTACTCAGGGTGGCTCTGTCTGCTAAAACACACAGGGGACATTGTTCTCTGTGTTTTGCATCTTGGAGGTGTTCATCTTCACTGGTGGTAGCAAAGGCTGTTCATACTGAGTCTCCCCTTTGCAGAAAAGAGAGTGTCTTGCCACGGTGTTAGACCCCCATCAGCGTTAGTTGCCTTTCTTGTTGCTGTGACAAAATACCCGGCAAGAGCAACTTCAGGAAGGACGGAAGGATTTGTGCAGCTCACAGTTTTGAGTGCATAGCATCAAGGGAAGAAAGCCACTACTAAAAAGAATCATATTTTTGTTCCTACATAAAAATGCCAGATTAGGGGGAAATTTTTGCTAGAAGTAGAAAGTTCTATATGAAATGCTAGAAAGAATATTAGACAAATAGAAGATGCTGCATCTAAAGTCACCCTTTGTTTGAAGACAGCAGATAGTATTGGTAACTTGGCTAAGTTTGTACGGTCTTTCACCAACTATAATTATACCCCCCAAGTACTAAATAAATGGCTAAAACAGGGGGGCTTCGAGCTCCAGGCGAGTTTAGAAGCTGTAGGGATCCAAATATATGGCTTCATGCTCAAAAGCAGACATGCAAGAAATTAAAAATATGGCCCAAAGGTTTAATGTTGCCTTTTAAGTGTTCTTAAATTCATATTCATATCCCCACAGTCTGTCCGAGGCAGTGAGGGTTGATATAGGGATGATATAAACACATCTACTTCCAGTCAGAGCTTCCACAAATCCTGTTTTGATAAGGTCTTAAATCTGTTGCGATCAGGCCATAATTCCCCTACAGTTTCAGAAATACATGAAAACAGTGCTCAACGGTTTTTTTTTCTTTTAATTTTGCATGCAGACTGTATGACCTCTGTGTGTGTAAATCTTCCCCCTCCTCCAATGCCCAGGGGGGAAATATGGGTGACGTGTGTTATGTTAGGAATGTTTCAAGTATAAATATAAAACTTGGTTTGTAAATTTTAGCTTACCTTTTAATAATTTTTCTGACTTATACGTGCATGTGTGTGTGTGTGTGTGTGTGTGTGTGTGTGTGTGTGAACTCAATAGGAGAACGTGTTATTATGATAACTGTTGGTGCCAGACTAGAGCTATTCAGAGGCTAGAAATTTACCAAAGAGTGAGTTCTGTCAGTGGGAGGACGTTTCAGTTGATGCATAGGATCATGGCTCTAGGTGATGGAAGGTCTTGCTGATGTGATTCATGCCACTAAATCAGTTACAGACCAACAGAACACATACAGATGTTCCCTGAGGAAGAGCCCTGTGAAGTAGTTTCCATTTCTGATAGCAGAATCCCAAGCTGCTCTTGAATCTCAGAGAACCCCTTTAGCAGGTGGCTGCTTATGGAGAAGTGTGAGCCCCGCCACTTGCCGAGCACTGTGGTATCCTAGAAGCAGAGGAGGGTAACATTTAAAGAACCAACTAACAGAATTACAGTCCTTAAACTCTTTGTGGTTTGCTGTTGCTACAGAACTCTATCCTCTGAAGATGACTTCTGAGTGGAAATATGCTCTGGAAAAATCCCTAGTTCTTGCTGCAGAGTCTCCTCTTCCAATGGAAGTGTTTAAGGTGAGTTGTGAACACCATCAGTCTTGAGTTGTGAACGCCATCAGACTTGAGTTGTGAACACCATCAGTCTTGAGTTGTGAACACCATCAGTCTTGAGTTGTGAACGCCATCAGACTTGAGTTGTGAACACCATCAGTCTTGAGTTGTGAACGCCGTCAGTCTTGAGTTGTGAACACCATCAGTCTTGCTCATGCTCTCTCTCCCCGTCTCCCTCCATTCTTAGCTCCCCATCTCCCTTTTCCCCTCTCTCTTTTTTCAAATATAAACTAAGCTGTGGGAGGGCTGTGGAAATGGCTCATTGGGTAATGTTCTTGCCATGCAAGCGTGAGGGCCCGAGTTTGGATTCCCAGCACTCAAGAATGTGTTAATGCACACCTGTACTCCCAGCGTTCCCATGATACTAATGCACACCTGTAATTCCAGCACTATGCTTATTGGTTAGGACAAACTTAAAGCAGGTTTCTTTTGTTTGTTTATTTGACACTGTAGCCTGCTGTTGTTGTTTTTAGAACTCCTTCTTGTTGGAGGTTTTTGCTGCCTCATTTTTCCAGGCCTGTCACATCTATTGTGCTGCTTCCCCTGGACTGTTGTATGGTGATGAGTTTCTCCGGGGTACCAGGGTACCTTCATGTGGGTTATTTTTTTTAATGTTCTTCTAGTTCCATTCATTCCTGCTTTGTTTTTTTTTCTGTTAAATTGTTATTCATCTTCCAATCTCAAATATAAATTCTCTGAAGAATTCTATACCTGGGCTCCTGGTCTGAGTCCCCAGCCTCGATGAGGCTCCCTGGTCAACTCCTGTGGCATCCTGCTGAGCCGCAGTGATAACCTTAGTCATTTGTGTGCTTCTGTGGATAACAGCCACTACTTTTGCCTAACTTGAAGGTCCAGGAAATGAAGGGCTTTATGTTTTGTACATGGTTGGAAGCAGAAGTCTTGGCACTTAATAGCTATTTGTCAAATAAATTGACAGATTCTTGAATGGACCACATGCATTTAATTCACTAGATTTAAAAATTCTGAGTTAATATACTTATGGATTAATTGAACATATAACTGTACTTAGAACTGCGACTACTAAGACTTGAAAGGCAGAAGCATTAATAATCTCGATCTGTTTTTAATTAAAAAGGAACCGATTCATTAAACATTTATTGAGTAGCTCTTCTCTGCAAAAGACCATTATGTCTTGTTGCCCTGATTCCAAGATTGCATTTAAGTTGGCCTGCATTTTCTAATATACAGCCATCTTCTCTCCTCACCTTAAACCCATCCTATGAGAACTCAGGCTCTTCTGATACATTGCTGTCTCAGAATTGCCATCTGACTTAGCATTTTACTATAGCTTTAAGAGTGAGCGCTGGATCCCACTGTGGCGCTCAGCACGAGGTAAGGTGTAGGCAGCAGGCACTTCATAGGCAGAGTTGGCTGCACTCAGTATTGGTGTTCAAGTGGGTGAGGTACTTTTTTAAATGTTTTATTTCATTTGATGGGAGGGAAAAGGATAAGATAATTTTGTTTGGATGGAGTCCATATTTAATGTTTCGGTCTTGAGAAAAGTTTGTTTCCTAAGGCGACTGTAACAACTTGCCACGGCCTAAGTGGCTTTTTAGACAGCATGCGTTTAATTTCTCATACTTTTGTAGGTTATAATTTAAATCAGGCTGTGAAGGGGTTCAGAATCCACCTGAAGAGAAACGTGTTCGGCAATCTGTCCAACTTTGGGGCCACCTGTTAAGTCTGGAATCCCTTGGTTTGTAGTGACATCAGTTCATTCTTGCTTCTTAGCTTCCCACGATCACATGACCTTGTAGTCTGTGTATCTGTTCACATTTCCCCATACTAATAATGACACTGGCCTTCCGATTAGTTATATGCTGGCCCAGAATGACCTCCTCTTAAGTACATTTGCAAAGATCTTGTTTCCAAACGAGGCATCCTGTTCATAGGTTCCCGTGGAAGTAAACCAGAAGGGGATGAACTTTTCTACCTAGTTCCACCGCATTTCATACACAGTAATTTTGTAAACAGAAAGCTCGTCTGAGCTCCTCGACTGAGCATCCACATCGCTGCTTATATTCAGAGGAATTACAGGAATGTGTGCGAGGAGGGTCAGATTGTCTCTGCTGCTGCTTCGTGTATTTTTCTCTCACACATTTATTTCTAAGAGTCCCTGCAATATTCTTCTGTAGGCCTCTGTAAGACTGCCCCTCCCCCGTACTTTCTTTTTTATGCTGTATGTCATGTGTGTATATATACATGGGTACATGTATGCATATGTGTTCCAGTGTGTGTTGAGGACAAAGGTGAACATTGGTTACCTTCCTCAGCTGCTCTCCACCTTACTTTTTGTGACAGTATCTATCACTAAATCTGGAACTCACTAACTTGGCCAGACTAGGTGACGAACAGACTCTAGCCAGCTTTCTGTCTCTGCCTCCTACTAAGTGCTGGGATTGCAGGGACATGCTGACAAGCCTTTGCCTGGGTTTTAGGGACCCAAACTTAAATCTTCATGGTTGCACCGCAAACACTTTACCAACTGAGCCGCATATATATCTACATTTATGTATTTCCCCCGTATGATCGGTGTTTCTCAGCCAGCAGACTTCACTTCTATTTCTGTCATTACAGCACCAGGAATAAATGTTTGAATTCAGCAGCGACTCATCTGGGATGCATGTTGTTATGGAAAATTGCCAGAGTGTTCTGCTGTTATGAGGCAGAAGTCAAAGCTAAGCACATTTAATGGCCAGATATGAGCAGTATTTCTAGGCAATTCTTTTTATTATTTTTACACTTTAGATAAAATAGGCGTGCTGATGGAATGAATCTCGTTATGCGCAGCCCCTTTCTTTGGGCGATGCCTTCACAGGCTCGGTGTCCCTTCATGCAGTCAGTCATGTTCGTGAGCTCTCTTTCCCTCTGCCTTGAACACAAGTAGAAACGATACGCCAAGGAGCTCGCCAGGAAGATGTTTGCTGTTCTTCACCTGCATCTGAGACAAAATACCAAATGACTTTGAGATTACGCCATTTTGAATGAATTCTGACTGACCATTAATGGATAATAGACCAATCCTCAAAGTGTAAACTCAGTTGAAAGATGAGTAGTTAATGTTCTAAATTAAAATAAAAAACCGAGGGACATTAGAAAATGTGCTTTATTGGCAAATAAATATTGATTTCTCCCTGACAACCCACCTAAGGATTTAGTGCTTTAAAAGGTTTAGTAAAATGATCCCTATTCTGGAAGTAACTTGTTCTTTAAGAATGATAGAGCAAAGCTAGAGATGGAGACGTGGCTCAGCTGTGATGCTTGCCCCACACGTACCAAGCCCTGGCTTTGATCGCCAGCACTGCATACATACAGATGTGGCAGCCCACAGCTGTAATGCCAGCACTCTGGTGGGAGACGCACGAGAACCAGAGGGGGTTTGAGGTTACTCAGGACTACTTGAATCTCTGCCCCCAAAATAGACAACAACGATAATGCCACAGGGGACCGTGTTTCATGTTCATGTGGTTCTTACTTAGAACATGTTTGCCTGCATTACGCATACGGCTAATTCCTGCTAGGACTCTGTGGGTACAAGCTTCATTGACAGGATAACATTCACCTGTCTGCAGCTCTGCATTAATACCCCCCTTTTAATTAACAGACATATCCTCTGCCGAGTGTGCTATGTTTGTCTTTTACGAGGAAATACTAAGATGTTTTCCTCAGAGCCTGTTTCTGAGCAATGATGCTATGGTGAATATCCATCCTTGTTTGTGGTTTCTGTTCTTGAGTTTGGTGTCTGCAAAAGAAAGAGAGCAGAATGCAGGTGGGTTTGGAGCATGGACAAGGAGGAGAGCTAGGATGTGATTATATTAATCTAAAAAGATAAAATATATTAAAGCATTCATCACTAAAAAGTTTGTGGGAACTTGGTTTCAAAATAAAGCCAACAAAGGCTAAAAAAAGTAAGGGCTGGTCAATAATAAATGCAATGCTACCTACTGTGTCCAAACTTCTTGAACCTTCTGCAATCACGGTTGCTTTTTAGTATCTGTCCTCTCTGGAAATTACATCCTGTCTCAGTGGCAAATATGGCATAATCAGAGTTTTCCTGGTAGGTCATATATCCACTCAGAAGATAAATCAAAAACAGCACTTCCCACATTCCCTGTTTGTGGAGATAAAATATACTTCCTCCTTAGAGACTGGAGAAGGACCTTCTGGCAATGAGTCACAGGTGTGGCCATTGCATAACCAGCTGAAAATACCCGGGTTTGTTCTTGGCTAGGAACTGGGAAGACCTGAGAACAACGAGGAAGATGCTAGGGATGGACTGAAATTAGGAAAGCATCTCTGCTTGATAAGCAGGATCCAAACGCCAGGAAATCTTAGCACTCATACACTTGAAATGCCAAGGACTTGTCTTTTGTTGAAAAAGCTCATAGTTGGCTTAATTGACTCACAGGTAGTGTGTGTAGTTTTTATTTTAAACTTTACAGTCTCTTCTGTATTCTCTTTGTGTATGTGTGTGTCTGTGTGTACATGTAAGGAGGTCAGGAGTCAATGTTTTACTGGTTCTTCAGTTACTTTCCACCTTAATTTTTGAGACAGGGTCTCACACAGAACCTGGAGCTCAGGAATTCTGAGTGATTATTGAGACCCAGGTCTCCACCTGTCTCTGCCTCCCCAGAACATGGATTAGAAGCACATGCTGCTTGGCCAAGCTTTTTTTTTTTTTCTCGCGTGAGCTTTGAGGGATGGCATTCAGATCCTCGTGCTTCTACCACAAGCATTTTACCCATCAGCTACCTCTGCAGTCCACCTGGTTCTCTTTGATTCTTGGACCTGTGAACATCCATGGTGTGATATATAAATTTATGTGTTCCCTCTTACATAGATGCCATTTCCTCATTAAACAGAAACACAGCATGCTGGAGGAATGTGCCGGCAGAGTTGGTGTCCAGTGATGGATTTTATTTCTTGTCTGCTCATTTTCTGTG